TTAGATAAAAGATGTATGTTTTTAGATTTGGAGCAGAAGAATACCAAATATACCCTAAACATTCAATTTCCTGGGTGGAACCTCCATTATTATGGAATTATAGTGGCTTCTCCAGCATTTGTGGTTTTTAAACTTTCTAGATGTTTTGAGATTAAAAAATTAAAACTTTTTGAATGTGAGATGTTTGAAATTATTGGAATTATGCCTCTGTCTCTGCTTGTTTTGTTTGGTTCTGTTTTGGGGGAGTCTTGTGATCTTCCCCCCTCAGCCTCCCAAACACGGAATTATAAGCATGTAACAATACTACCACACCTGGGTTAAAAGTGTGCTTTTTTTAAAGACTTTATTTAAAACAAAACAATAACAGGGTCTCCATGAAGGCCAGCTGGCCTGGAACTCATTATGCAGACCAGCCTGTACTCTAATCTCACAAGGATTCACCTGTCTCTGCCTCCTGAGTACTGGGATTAAAGGCATGCCAGACATTATTTTTCCAAATGATGTCATTTCTAAACGAAGAGCTATGACTTAAAGCTTCTATGCTATTTTTCCAAACTAATGCAACATAGGTACAAATAGCCTTTGTTCACAATAAATGGCAAAACAAATTTTAATTTTGTAGAAATATTGAATAAATGAATTCAACCTATAGATGTGATGCTTATTTTTGAGGCTAATTTATACATTTGTTCTAGTTTTTTTGTTTTTTTGTTTGTTTGTTTGTTTCTTGCCTGATCAATATACTTCAGCATTAATATCAAGATTTTTAATTATTAATTGTATATGTGCACATATATGCCCAAAATTTCCATTTATGTCATGTATTCTTAGTTGAGCATATATGCATAGTTCAAGTCCCACATGTAAATAATAATACGTATTCTTAAAGTTTTTTATATTAATGTGTATGGATGTGTGTGCAGGTGCCCTCAGAAGCCGGAAGTGGGTGTCTGATCCGCTGGAAGTTGTGAGCCGCCTGAGGTGGGTGCCTGAGGTGGGTGCCAGGAACCTAACTGGAAGAACAGCAAGCACGCTTAACTGCTGAGCCATGTCTCCAGCCCAAGAATACATATTTTCAAACTGTGTATTTGTAAAAGCTAGAGTATAGGAGAGGCTGTGTCTATGTTATTACATATACATAAAACCCTATTCATATAAGGGACACGAGTAATTGCAGATTTTTGTATCCTAGTGGGTGTAGGGGCATGCAACTAACCCTCTCACACATATGAGCACCAAACACCCTCCTAAACAGTCGTCTAAGTGAAAAAGCGTTTAGGGTAAATGGATGGCCCGGTGACGGCCGGCTTATTGTTGCGGTTGTTTGTGTTGAACTGCATCCGTCCAGACTCAGGAACCCCTGCCGTAGTCAAACGGCAGCTCTTGAGGTTATTTTTCACTCTACGCGAGGCTCCGGAGAGTAAAGTTTCCTGGAAGGGAAAGTGCAACACCTAAACTCCTCAAGCCGCGACAGAGGTCCCCTTGGACTCTCGTTCCGGAAGTGGCTGGAACTGACAAGAGTGGGGGCGTCCGGTGGGCTGCCATCTCCCTGGGAAGTCTGCCTGGTTCTTCGGCCTCGGGGCGGGAGTCGCTCCACTCGTCACATCTGGGTTTTGACGAGCTGCGGCAACGTAAAGTCCTCGCTGCTGTGTGGCCCGCGGAGTTATCCGACCCCGTCGCGGTACTCCAGCCGGTCTTTTCCCCTGAGGGAAACTTCCTGGCCTGCGCGGAGGGTCATGGGACCGCAGCCTAGAGCAGGCGTCCGTTCCAGCTGTCAAGCTGACAGCGCAGGAGGAGCCTGCGGGGGTGTGGGCAGGGACGGAGGGGGTGGAGTCGGCTGGGGGGCGGGGCCTGTGGTCAAAGGGCCGAGGGCGGGGCCTGTGCGGAGGAGCGGAGGGCGGGCTCTGTAGGGGAGGTGCCGAGAGAGCGCCTGTGGTGAGTAGAAAGGAAACGCGTCGTCCGTGGCATATCAGACCGGCTCTGCTGGGGCCAGAACAGCAGCGGCCGCGGGGGAATGGGCGGTCCGAAGAGCTAGCGCCGCACAAGGACCAGTCGCGGCCGGGGCCGAGCGGAGCCGCCGCGCCCGGAGATGAACGAGGACGCCATCTGCAGCGCGCTGCCCACCATCCCCTACCACAAACTCGCCGATCTGCGCTACCTCAGCCGCGGCGCCTCGGGCACCGTGTCGTCCGCACGCCACGCAGACTGGCGCGTGCAGGTGGCAGTGAAGCACCTGCACATCCACACCCCGCTGCTCGACAGGTAGGGCGCCCCACGAGCTTGGCCTCCCGGGTACGCGTTGGCCTGCCCACGGCTCTGCAGGTCCTTCTAAGTGGACGCTTGTAGTCCAGGGGAGAAATGCACGTCTGACAGTCACCGTCCTTTCTGGCCGAGCACCCGAGGCGTCCACTCTGGACACCAGAAATGAGCAATCCCAGCCCAACTCTAAAAGCCCTGTTTCCTGAATGAAGTTGGTGGGTATTCTTATAAGCACGTGCGGGCTTTGCTTTATTTCTCGCTGGCGCGTAGCCACAAGAGCTTGAAACGTGGCTGTGCGGATGAAAACTGCAGTGAGAGTAAAAGTCACATCGGGCTTTGAGCATTTAGTATTAGGATGTGTACGTGTTTTTATATTGATTACATGCTGAAATGATATTTTCCTAACGTTATATAGCTATTCACCCCATACTTTTCTCTGGCAGCGCTGCTCCAGAGTCTGGGTGTTTTGATTTGGGTTTTGTTGTTTTGTTTGTGGTTTATTTCACATGCAGTCATGAAGTTCAAGTATCAAACTCTGTATTAGCAGTTGTTCCGGCTCTCACCGGGAGGACTCCCCCCCCCGCCCCAAGAAAAAAAAATGCGTGTACTGTTTTTGTAACAGTAAACTGAATCCAAAGGCTGGTAAGTGGTCAAAACTGTGACGATCTCTCACACCCTGCTATGGGCCGTTTCCACGTTTTTAGGGAAAAAAAAAACTTGTCTTGGTTTCTGTTTCCAGGAAAACATAACGGCCAAATACCATGGACCTGTGACTGTATTAGTCAGTGGGTCTTGTCAGTAGTTTTGTGTATTTTCCTTCCATCAGAAATTTCACAAGGCCTCCACTCAGTTCTTAGTGGGCTAACATCTGTGGATTTAGTGTGAAGATACATAAATCACAGTGACCTCATTGGCCAAAGGCTCTTAATATCCATCTCGTATAAATCTCTTGGCTCAGCCCTGCCAGAAGTATTGGGACTTTCATCTGCCTGCTTTCTTTTTTCCCACTGTGGATTAGATCACATTGTACACATTGAAACACTTCTAGTTTCTACTTTTTGTATACCATGATCCAGATTCAGGGATGTACAAGTGTGTGTGTAGTCAACTTTAAACAAAGGTTAGGGTAAATATATTTTAGAACCAAGTATGTGGAAATGCAGAACTAATAGACCATTAAGCATTCTAAAACTATTTGACTTCTGATTTTGGACTCTGCTTTTCAAGGTTGTTTTTTTTTTTTTTTAAAGCTTTGTGCCATTTGTTGGCCAAGGAAATAAAGAAGCAACCACTTTGTAGTATAAAATGCTTCACTGAATTGGGTAGATTAGTCCTGTCTTCATAAGACCAGCCAAATCCTCTGGCCTTACCACATCCATTCTTTGCTCCTCTTGTTGCCTAAGATCTTAACATGAACATAGGCCTAGGCGTATGCAATTGACTCCCAGCATGTCTGTTTCCTCATGTATAAAATATGAATAATAAACACTGTACATATATTTCTTGGGCTCTGGTGTGGATAATGTTCCTATTGTTCTTTAGGATGACCTGAAACAAAAACAAGTTTATATGACGTTACATGTTATTTTAATGATTAATGAGTCATTCTCCATATCCAGTGAGTGGGCCTTCCATAGCAGTCTTCCTACCCTTAATGAATACAAGACTGCTATTTATTGTTCAAGTACCCTATAAATGGGATAGCTTTC